AAATCCTTCAAAACGAAAAATCAAACTAAATCCTTCAAAATGAAAAATCAAACCAAACCCTTCAACCCCCCAAATTTCGGTTCGAGCCCCCGGGCCGGGGTCCCACCTCGACCCGCGCGGAACGATCGCGGGCGCGGACGAGCGAGAAACGACGACGGAGTGGCAAATATTCATAAAATATTCTAATAAAATACTGTAATCTATATTGGAGTCATTTAAAATAATACGATAGTAGTGAAATAATGAATTTTCGTGTAAATAGATGATAAAATGGTGAAGAATAAAGAATAACGAATGAAGAAAAAAATGGAGTAGAATGAAAAAAATGAAGAAAAAAGTGAAGAAAAAATGAAAAAAATGAGAAAAAAAAAGAAGAAAAAAAATGAAGAAAAAAAATGAAGAAAATAAATGCAGAATGAGAAACACGGACTGAAATCTGAAGAACTTCTCCTCGCCCAACCCTCTTGTCATCATCAAGTCCTGAAGCAGGGCAGAAGGTGGCCGAGAAGGTCTGAAGCAGGGCAGAAGGTGGCCGAGAAGGTCTGAAGCAGGGCAGAAGGTGGCCGAGACGACCAAGCAGGACTGAAGCGGGAGGAGCCCCCACCCAGTGAGCGAGGACAGGGACAGGGTGCGACGCCAAACACCGAACCCAGCAGCACCCTCCAGTCGCCCCAAGCCACCCGAGGAGCTCGGCCCCGCGGCCCCACCAGCTCCCACCGCGCCTCCAGGTCTCCCACCCCGGTTCTCCAAGGTCCATGCCGACGTGGTGGGTCCATCCCAACCATCAGAAACCACCCCAGGGCCTCAGAAACCTTCATCCCGCCCCAAGAAGGCAACTCCAACCCCCCGAGAAGGTGCCTCCAGCCCTCACGACTCCCATGGACGCCGTCACCAGCGCAGCAGGACGCTGCGGCGAGGTCCTCACCAGCCATGGGAGGGAGGCCCTCATAATTACGTCCCTTCCTTGGTGACTAATTAGTAATTAGCAGCAAACCAGAAGAGCAACCCCTCCCCTGCCCACTGGAGACGTTTTGGTTGAGCGTTGAGGGATGCGTCAGCCCTTCATGGGCCGTCCCGCGGGGTCTCCAAGCCCCCGTGAGATGAAGCCCACGCTCCCACATCCCCAGAACATCCCGGGGCCCACAGAACCTCCAGAGCCGGGAGGCTGGGACCACCCCGGGACCCACAGCATCTCCAGGGCTTCATGGTTGGGACCCCAGGACCCACAGCATCTCCAGAGCCCTGGGGCTGGGACCACCCCAGGACCCACAGCATCTCCAGGGCTGGGACCACCCGAGGGCCCACAGCATCTCCAGGGCTTCATGGTTGGGACCCCAGGACCCACAGCATCTCCAGAGCCCTGGGGCTGGGACCACCCCAGGACCCACAGCATCTCCAGAGCCCTGGGGCTGGGACCACCCCAGGACCCACAGCATCTCCAGGGCTGGGACCACCCGAGGGCCCACAGCATCTCCAGGGCTTCATGGTTGGGACCCCAGGACCCACAGCATCTCCAGGGCTG